CGTCAACCTGCAGACCCCGCCAGGCCCGGCGGCCGCCTCATGGCAGCGTCTCTGGCTCACTCGCTCCCGCCGACCGCCGCCGTGGCCCGCGCCCAGACCCGGAAGAGCCGCAGGTGCCAACACGGCACACCTCAGCCCGGCCGCGCCTCCGCCGCCGGCACTCACTTCCGCCTTCCGCGGGCTCCTCCGCCCGGAAGTGACGACACGGGGCGGGGCCGCGAGGGCAGGAATGGGCGGGTTCCTCTAGGAAACCCTCCGGGCTCCGCGGGGCGGGGCCTCGAAGGGCGGGGCTAGGCAGGTCACGGACCAATGAGAGTGAGGTGTTGCCGTGGGGGCGGGGCTGGAGGCGGGGCCTGGGGCCCAGGAGCTGGGCACCTGTCTAGGTCTCCCCGCTGGCCTCCCGCGGAGCTGGGCTGTTGAACCCCACCTTGCAGGGGCGGGAGCAGTAGAGATTCATTCGCCAGCAGAGCCCCGCTCCCGAAGGCCAGTGGAGGCCAAGAGGAAAAAGGCCCCGCCGTGCCTTCGGGAGAAAGCGGGGTTTTGGGGGTGCATTTTAGCAATTACACCCTAGAACTGTAGGCGGAGGGTGTGCTTGGTTTTCTTAACTGTCGGGGCATACCCTTAACCTGTTCCAATGAGTTAGCAACCTACGTTTTACAAGCGAGACGCTGAGGCACAGAGAGGTCTTGTGATTTAGCTAAGGTCACAAAGCTCGTAAGAAGGGGCGTGGGGATCTGCTCCCTAGGCCTGGCCAGCGCTCTTCCGAACAGCACCCGGAGCAGTGGGAGGAGAGAATCCAACATTCGAATATTAAAGGCACAAAGGAAATACTGTGAGAGGGCAGGAGAGGTAGAGACCAATATAACCAGAGAAATCTGGGAGGGCTTCAAGAAGGAGGTGATTTCTAGGCTGGGCCTTGAGGGACAAATGGGGATGGAGGATGGAGAGGGCTTTGAGGAGAAGGAGACAGAAGCGCCCGATACATCTGTGAATCCCTGGCACCTGGCAGATGCTCACAATGAGTCTGCTGAATAGACACAGAGCAGGAGGGCTGAGAAGGGCCTTCTCAGGGAGAAACAAGCAATTCCAAGCAGGCTGGAACCATACACAGGAAGGATTAAAGGCTGCTGGGAGAGGATATTGGGGAACCAAGCAGGTAGGCACATAAAAGACCTTATGTCTTGGAGCAGGGTGCTGATTCCTCAGCTCCAGGCAGGACAGCCACTGCGTAAGGCTCTGTCCCACCCCACCCCGGCATGCACCCACGACAAGATGTGCGTAATTTAAGTGTATGGTTTAACAAAGAACAGCGAGTACTCACGAACCCACCATTTGACTTTAAGACGGAATATTAGCAGAAATTTAGATATTCCCTTTGGTTCCTCCACCATCCCACCTTCCTCCCCTCTTCACAGCCATCCTGGGATCATCACTACCCGGATTTTATCAATTCATTACTTTTCTTTAAAAGTGTACCACATATGGATATATCCCTAAATGGTTATTGGAAAGATTACTATTTGTCTTTTAATATTCAGTGATTCCACCTTCCAAATTCTGCCGGCACCTGTAGCTGCCTAGAACAAAGGACACACTGCCCAGCCTCCCTTGCAGCTAGGGGTGGTCATGTGACTAAGTTCTGACCGGCGAGCAGAAATGGCAGGTGCCACTTCCAGGTAGAACCTTTTAAAAGGAGGGGGGTCTGTCCCGTCCTCCCCCTCCCTTCATCCTGCTGCTTGGAACATAGAGGTGATGGTAGGAAGCCATGTCAGGCTGTGTGGACTGTGACGGGAGAAGGGGCCTGGATCCCCGGACTGTACCCTGGAGCAGAGCCACCATCCCAGCCCCCAAACCGCCTCCCCCTGACTGCTCCGTGAGGGGCAGGCAAACCATCTCATTTAAACCACTGTTATTTTGGACTCTGTTTCACGAAGCCAAAGCTACACCCTAACTAATTCAATATCATATTGGCGCAGAGCATTTTCCATTTCTTGACTTTTGTACTAATGGGCTTATACATATAAATTATATAAATTCTGCAGCTCTGTTGGCAAGATTCACCACGATAGTGCAGGTGGGTACTTTCGGTCACTTATTCTCGCTGTTCTATGGAAATCTGCTGTTTAAAAAGCCCGGAATCGATGAGTCCATTCTCCTGCTGAGGGCACCTGAGCTGTTTCCAATTACGTGCCATTATAAACAGTGATGCGGGGACATTACGATACTTGTCTCCTTGATATGTTAGAGTGTCTCCTGGGTAAATACCTATGAGTGCAATTGCAGATTCAAGCCCGTGCATACCTTTGATCTCACTGGATATTACCAGACTGCTCTTCAAAGCAGTTCTAAGGGTTCTTGCTGGTTTACATCAGAGGCTGCAACACTTCTTCTGGAACGAGCCCGAGAGCCAGTATTTTCTGCTTTGCAAGCCATACGGTACGCTGTAGCTCGAAAGCAGCCCTGGAGGACACGTAAACAAATGCATGTGTGTGTGTTCCAATAAAACTTTATTCACAAAAGCGTCAGCTGGCCCAATCTGACCCGAGGGCCAAGGGTTGTGGACCCCTGCTCTAGGCCGACAGCAGTGTTTGGTATCATCAGTTCGGCCTCCTAGGGAATGAGACGGGGTGTCATCGTGACTTTAATTTCTGCTTCCTAGTTACGAGTGAGGTCAATCGTCTGCTCACACTTTTACTGTCCGTTCCCGTTTCTTGGGTGAAATGCGTGTTCACTATTGCCCATTGTGCTAATTCGCTGCTTGTCTCTGTTCTCATAAATTCTGAGTTCTTTCCATGCCGTGTCCCTCGGTCTGGGTTTGTCAGGTGTCTCCCCATGGGTCTAGTTCTCCACCCTGTCCTAACAAATCACTGCAAACTTCGCAGCCCCGCCAACACACATCTGTCTCCCACACGACCACCCCTAGCTGCAAGGGAGGCTGGGCAGTGTGTTCTTTGTTCTAGGTGGCCCACGTGCCAGCACAACTTGTTTTCTTGCCAGTTGTAACCCAACGGCCTTTCCCAGCTTCGAGAGGCTGCCGAGTTACCTGGCTCACAGCCCCCTTCCTGCAACTTCAAAGCCAGCAGCAGGGAGTGGAGGATGGGAGGTGGGGGGACGGGGGGCTCTCCCTGACCCAGCCGGGAAAAGATTTCCAATTTTAAGGATTTGTGTGATTAGACTGTGCTCATCCGGATAATCCAGGATCATCTCCCATCTCAAGGTCTGTAACCTTAATCACATCTGCAAAGTCCCTTTTGCCACGTGAGGTACCAGGTTCGCAGGTTCTGGGGATTAAGGGGGGGGCACATCTTTGGGGTGCCCTTATTCTGCCTACCACACTCGTGATGAGATTCATATTATGTTTCTTTAGCAGAAGCATCCCAAAAGTGATGCCACATTCCCACCGTGTCCTGTCGGGTGCTGCTCGGTCTTAGATTGTCCCATGACCATGACGTGCCTCTTGTCACCTGATTAGACAGGCTCCCCCATGGGAAAGTTACGTCTTTGTGATGGATGAGTGGTTTGGGGGGATGTACTTTGAGGTGAAATATCCTAGTCCTTACCAAACTTGCAACTTATTAATTCATCTGAATCAGAACGGACTCATGGTTTCCTATTTCATTCAAGGGGTTATAACCCACCACTATCACTATTTATCCTGGTGCTGGAGTTGTCCCAGGTGTGGACCGTGAGAACCCCTTTGGCTGGCTCCTGCATCTTTTGATGTGTCCCTGGCATTCCCTGAGCACTTGCTTTCTTTCCTGATCCACGAATTGTTCCCGGCCCATCCTGTACTTTTCCTGGAATCACAGCAATGCCCCAAATGCCCGGGGAGGTCCAGGGCCGCAGTGTTCACCCTGGTGTCCACCCTTCCTATCTGTAACTCCAGGCCGACGCTCTCCCTCCTCCCTCGCTCCAGCCCCTACCCTGGGCTGCCCCACCTGGACTCCCTCCCACCCCCAACCCCCACTGCCACAGACACACCTTGCCCTGCCCCATCTTAAAGGTTTTGGTGTTTTTTCAAGTATGTTTTTATTGATTTCAGAGAGAGAAAGGGAGAGAGAGAGATAGAAACATCACTGATGAGAGAGAGCCATTGAT